CAAAGCGAACACATTCCCCTGTTAATTTTCATGTTTGCATTATAGGGTTCACATTGGTCCCGGCATCTGTCTGCAGCACAAGGCCAGGTTGCACAATAGCATGCAACCTGGGCCAGCTGCAGAAGCTGCCTGCATGGGGGGTGGTTTGCCAACAGCTGTACAGCAGCCGGGAAGCATCCTCTGCCTGCCACTTCCTGCCCAAGCCCAGCTGCCCAGAGATGCTGAGGGCAAAAGACCAGCTGCCCCTCCACACACAGGGCTGTGCTCCAGCTAACAAGAGCCAGGAGACAGTCGAGAGGAAGCAGAGTTTCTGTGAGGGAGCTGGAGAAACCCATCGTGCTTAAAGCATGCCTAGACTCTGGACTTCATCTCATTTAAGAAAGACATTGTGCAAATTGTTTAAAGTAAATAAAACAATGAGGAGGCGAGAAAGAGGAAAGGAAAAATGGTTTTCAAAAGCCATCCTTTCATTTTCTGAGGAGAGCAGCTCTCAGTGTCTTAGAAAGGGCTTAACCCGGGCTTGATCTGTGCACAGGATAGTCTCCTCTCTGTGAATGTACCAACCGCCTGAGCACACCTGGCAGCTGCAAAGAACCAGGAGCTCATGCAGTGGCCATGCCCTTGAAGCTAGACACTCCACTTGACCAGGCATTTTCCCCTGAAGGGGTTCAGAAGACCTCTCCCCAAGATGTGCCACTTTGGCATGTGAATTATTTTAAGCTAAAAGCAGTTGAGACCCTGCGGGCTCACAAGAAACTTTTACCTCTCCCTTAAAGAATTTAAATTTGAGGCCTTGCCCATAATAAGACTTATCATCAGAGATAACTTTTTATGACCCAGTTTTGGGCAGGGCAAACTTACAATTACTGAACATCTGCTCTTCTTATCGTCCTGAGAATGACCTTCCTCTCCTCTGAAGCCCCAACTCACCTCACCTCATCCTTAGCTCAGATGTCATATACACCCCCATTTTCCCTTTCAGTCCCTGAACCTTTGCGGATGTGGGGTTCCCATGCATATGTATGTGATTAGATGTGGTTCTTCTCTCTTGTTAATCTGTCTCATGTCGATTTAATTATTAGACCAGCCAGAAGAACCTAAGAGGGCAGAGGAAAGTTTCTTCCTCCCCACACATCTTCACAGGTGGCAATCAGGAAGTAGTCTGATCCGTCGCCACGTAATGTGCTCTTCCTTTATTCCGAGATAAGCCTCTAGTTTTCAGCTTAAGGCATCCTATTTCCCTCCTCTAGAGATGGGACTATTGTCCTGGAGCTTAATGACCCAACATCCAGCACACCCAGTGGAGTTAGAGACCTCACAATCTTCTCCCAAAGGCATAAGAAAAATAGGGACCGTGGAGGCAGAAAGGCCAGGATGCAACCAGAACTGGGAGTGCTGGGTACTCCTAAGTGCCATTCGGCCCCCTTGACATCTATGCACCTTCGGTACCAGAGTGCCAGCAGTCAGCCATAATTAAACAGACTGGGCTGGGGAAGGAGCCATGTGTGACAGCACACAGCTTGTCTGCCAATCTCACTTTTAAACAGCTCAAAGTTCCTTTCTAACTCTGTTCTCAACATGTGCTAATGACAAAATGGCTGGAGACAATCTGAGTTCTGCTTCCTCATCCTCTCTTAAGTTGATGAGCAGCAAAATGTGTAAAGATGGGCAAAACCAAGCAAGAGTCATGAAATAAAACATGAACTGAGTGGACAAATGACTGCCTATGGTTTGTCAACCAGCAAGTGTATCTGCAGATATAGAGTATGCCTTGGCATAGGCTGAAGGGCCCCTGGGTGGCAGAAACACGCAAAAGGGGCGGCACTCTTTCCACATAGAGGTTGGACAGGCTCAAGAAGTGCTGAGGTCACAGGTGCAGGAAGTGAGATCTGAGCATCTCCAGGAGCGTAGGACACAGGGAAAGGAGGTTTGTTTGTTTGTTTGTTTCTAGGAAGCCCCAAAGGCCAGTCCCAAAGCTGGGGAGGAAGGCATCTAGGGAGCTTTCACAGCATCGCTCCCCAAGGTGGGATCAGGCCATCCACAAACAAACTCAGGAATGTAAAATGGGACTGGACACAGAACATAGGGTGAAAAACAGCAGCACCAGCAAAGGAGGCCAAAGGTCAGGCATGAACAGCTATACAAGAAACAGGTTGTTTAACACTGAAATGAACAGGAAGTCTTGTTTGTTTCTGAAGCTGTTCTATGCAATTTACTCATTCAATCACTCACTCATTCGCCTACCAGTTTCTACAAACATTTCAAAAGTCCATATTTGCATACCTGGTGGGGTGGGGGTGGGCGTTTTTGGAAGGAACCCTAAACAGTCCATGGGAAGGAAACACATTTGATCATTGTACTTCTAAGCTGTGGCTTACAGTACCTGGAAAGTACTTTTGTTGATGATGAGAGTAAACATTTAAATGAACAGTCAGAAAACGGTAACTGGTCCTCTCGTAGTTGACTAAGAAACCCAGTCTACTTGGGTGATGTCCCCCTCTGACACCTCATGCTTTAAAGGCCTCATTCAGAGCTGGCCCCATGTCAGCTGAGAATGCTTGCTGGCTTCAGCATTTCCTTTGTCTCTTGGGTTAGTCTTCTGGTCCTGACAAGTGTATGAATTTTCCCTAAATTTCCATGTAACACAAAAGAAACTTTTGTGCTGTGGAACTTTTTTGGGGTTTGGTGTCTTGCCCGTGGCTTATGTCCTGTCACTTATATTCATCTACTGAGCTGTGCTGAAACAAGGGTTGGGAACACTTGCTACTGTCACCTGCCTGAAGGAGGTCAAGGGTGTCATAGGGAAATGCCCTGGGGTTACACTCGGGAGACCTGGGTGTCAGCTTCTGTCCTATCACCAACTGGCTCTCTGTGCCTCATTCCCAACACTATGGGGGAAAAAGGGAGAATGGGGGATTGCTCTAGACTAGGTTTTCTCAACCTCAGCACTATTGACATATTGGGACAGATAATTCTTTGCTGTGGGGCTGTCCTATGCATTGTAGGATGTTTAGCATCCCTTCTCACTACCAATTAGATGCCAATAGTACCCCCTCTAGTTGTGACAATCAAAAATAACTGCAGACATTGGCAAATGCCCTCTAGGGGTTGGGGAGGTTGCCCCCAGTTGAGAACCACTGATACAGACCTGCAATGTTGAATCCAGAAGCCACGTGTGGTCACTGAGCATGTGAAATGGACTAGTACAAACTGAGATGAGCTGTAGGCACAAAATGAGCACTGGATTTTGAACATTTAAATGATAAACAAAAAATAACATAAAATATCTCATAACTATTTTATATTAATATATTATTTTTTATATCTCATATTGATTACATATTGCAGTGATAGTATTTTTAATACATTGGGTTACATAAAATAATTTACAAGAATTAATTTCACCTCTTATTTTAATTTTTGCTCTTTACAATGTGGCTACATTGTAAAGATGTAAAAATGGAAATAACATATATTGCTAGGATTGGAGCATTAGATTTCCACTGGTGAGAGCTCATGTAAATGTCACTGGCTAAGGTCCTTCCTGCTCACGGCATCCAATTCTCTGTGAATGACTTACTACCACAGGAGGAAAGCAATCATTTGCTAGCACAATCTGCAGTTGTGGTGGACCAGACAGCTGAGGCATGACAGAATGTGGACACAGAATCCTGTCAGAATATCCCCAGTGCAAACCCCAAAATGCATTTGAGTTCTCTCTTCTGCATGATACACGAAGCAGAATCTGCAGTGTCAGCACCAAAAGGCAATGCCCTGCTCCATCCCCCAGAGGAAGCAGTCCCAACTGTCAACATCCTGCTCCGGTTTGCTGATAGATGCAATAGGCCCTGGACACCCCACACACAGAAGCACAGGGAAGCCTGTCTCCCAAGGTAATTTTCCGCTCCCACCCATGCTGAGCAGAGCCTGGGGCCTGCGTGTTGACTCGGCAACCAGAAGAGCTGGGTCCTACTGGGAACTGGTGGGGTGGTTCCAGGTTTGCTAAGGGCTCGTCACATACATCACCTCCCTTAATTCCCACAATAGTCACGTTTGCTGGACCCTAAAGTGTCTCCATTTTATTTATTTGTGGCCAATAGGAATTTTTTTTCCAGGAACTTGGGTCATAAGAAATGTTAATTTCTTCATTTTTATTAAATCAAATTAATTCGATCTTAGCCCTTTATACCACTATCACTTCTGACCCTAGCTCCTGCAGTTGTTTAAAAGGCAAAGGTCACAGGGTTGTAAGCAAAGGAGAATATTCGAGGTGGTCCCTCTGGTTTTCTGTCCCCCTGCTTATCCCTGACATGTCATTGCCATGTCTGGCTTGATACCTTGTAGAAGTGGGCACGCTGCCTGTAGAGAACCAAGCAGCCATTTCCTACCAAGGTTTGGCCACTTCCCTGAGAGCTGGGACTGTGACAGCAGGACTCAAATTCTTGGGGCTCCTTCTGGAATTTCCAACCCACCAACGCTTTTCTAGCCAAGGAAAGCACCCTCTGCTCTGCAGCTTTCTCTTCTCACTGAGAAACACAACAAAAAGTGCCAGCCTCCATCACCCCTGACACACACAACACCCCACTCCCCGCGCACACATACCCCATCCTCTGGGCACTAGTTAGCATTATCTCCTAAAGGACTTTGAGCTTTCTAAACAAAATTCACAAGGGTGGGTTTGGATTCAGACGAACTCTGCTTTCAGTTCTGTACCACAAACCTCCCAGCAAGATAAAGAGCTCAAAGACCTTCTGGAAATGGAAGCATACAAGAAAAAGAAAAGAAAACAGACAAGACACAATTTAATCTATAAATTATGCTGTTTCCATGAGTAGAGAAAGTGAGACTCTCTGGGGTCAAGTGACTTGCTCACTATCACATTTCTGGTGTCAGAGGAGGGACCCCTGAATCCACTGAAATACATCATGTATAGAGAGCAAGAAAGGAGAGTCATATGCCAATGGCCCCATGGAGGGGCAGCTGGGCCTCCAGGCCCTTACCTCTATTCCTGGAAGTGCCTTCCTCTTAGGAAACGCTTACTATTCCGAGGCTATCATGCTCCATCTGACCAAGTTAGGACACACTTCCCTTATTCCCTTGAGCATGGAACTTGCTGTAACATTTAAACAAGGTCTAGTTAAAAGTTTTGAGGTTAACACATAACTAATTAGATTATCTAACTTGCAAGGTATTTTTCTCTCTCAGCTCTCTATAGAAATGGTTTAAAAAGGATAGTATTCAATGAAACTGATAGGTGCTTCAGGGGTTCTGCAAGTATGTGATTCCAACTGCAGATTTTTTAATTAGGTGGATGTGGATGGAAGGGTTTATTAGAAAAGCAAGCTTATAGGCGGTATGGAAATGCAAGGCTATCTTATCTTATGTCATGGTTATCAGCCAAGGTAATTGAATGGCTGATCAAAGTACTCTATCATAAAATTATAGAACCAATCTGAAATTTTAAAGGACGTTTGCCATATGAGTAGGCCCAACTTGTGGATGGTGCGGGAATCGTCACATGGCTATTTGACTCTTTAGGCTGAGAAATTCATCCGAACAGCAGAAACAGGGAACAATGACTAATGTCCCCACAGGGAACCAGAACCTGACATTACTTCCACACACATGTTCTGCAAAGGCTTCTGCTGAAACCTAAGGAAGAAATGTACTCGTCTACTCAATACTCTTAACAAAATGCTACACAGCCAAATAATAGAACTAGAAAATAGACCTGTAAAAACACACAGCTTAATAAAATATGGGAGAATATGAAACTCACAGATAAAAATGTAGTAAACATTGTAAATCCTTATAACACTGGATGCCTGTTAAAAATTATATCAATAAAAATTGAGTTTCACAAACATAAAGTTGAACCAAAAAAGCCAGACAAAAGAGTGTGTACTTAATGGTTCCATGTATGTGAAGTTTAAAAACATAAAAGACAAAACTATCTGTGAAAACCAGAATGGAGGTTCCTCAAAAAATTAAAAATGGAACGACTACATGACTCAGCAGTTCGACTTCTGGGTATATACCCAAAAGAAAGGAAAGCAGGCTTTCGAAGAGATGTTTGTACCTCCATGTTTCTAGCAGGATTATTTACAATAGCCAAAAGTTGGAAGAAACACAAGTGTCCATCTACAGATGATAGATAAACAAAATGTGGTACATACATACAATGGAATATGATTCAACCTAAAAAAGAAGGAAATTCTGACACACGCTACAACATGAGTGAGCCTTGAAGATACTATGTAGAGTGAATAAGCCAGTCACAAAATGACAAATACTGTTTGTTTTTACTTATGGGAGGTACCCAGAGTAATAAAATTCACAGACACAGAAAACAGAATAGTGGTTTCCCAGGGCTGAAGGAGGGGACAATAGGGTGTTAGTGTTTAAAAGGTGCAGTTTTGGTTTTGCTAAATGAAGAGTTCTGTGAATGGATGAAGGTGATTGCTGTACAACGGTGTGAATGTACTTAATGCCAGTGAATGATTCAGACGATAAATACTATGTATTGTGCATTTTACCACAATTAAAAATGATTTTTTCAAGGGGAAAAAGAACAAAGAACTGGCAAAACTAAACTATGTTGGGAGATGAGGGCTGACGCTGGGAAAAGGGCACGGAGCAGGCTCTGGGCACTGGTCCTGTTCTTTCTTAATCTAAATGCTGGTGGTATGAGTGCTTTCAATTTGTGAACTTTACAAATTACACATTTAGGCTTTTGACATTTTTCTGAATGCATGGTATACTTAAATTAAAAGTTTAAAAAGTTACGTTAACACAAATGAAAACCCAACTATGCAAGAAAGAAAGTCCCCAGGATGAAAGATAATCTGCAGTCTATAACGTCATATGATAGTGTATTCACTTTTGCTCACATTTTGTTCCATAATAGCTTCTAGAGTTTCCAAGTTTATGAAGCAACTTCTAGGTTTGTTTTTATTGACACTTCTGTTAATGGGCAAGAACAACCAACCCCCCAAAAAAGTCAGATTAAAAAAACAACAACAACAAAAAAAAAACACTGTCTCCCAGGAGTCCCTTCCTCCAAGGGCTGCTCAGCACAATCCAGGCTCAGTCAAAGCATGTGTGGAGAGCTCATGGTGTGAGCTTTGTAGGGATTAGGTAAATCACAGGTGCACCCTTACCTGAATCAGCCAGCAGCTTACTCATTAATCAGGTGCTTAACAGGCTGGTGCTCCAAGTTCCCCTCTTGGCCTAACAGCCTGGTAGCTTTGGACTGGTTCCCAGTCTTGCCCTCCCCGCCAGGTCCCCTTTTCCACTTCCAGCCAAAACTTCTCTCCACAGGTATTCAGACCATAAGCCCAGGTTCTGTCAGATTCTCTTCTCTGCTGGATTCCCCTTGCAGGGTTGACTTCTCAGGTTTCTCCTCCAGGGTTTTCTCATGGCTTCCCATGTTTGCTCCCCACACTGTTCACACAGAAAACTAGTTTCTCCAGAAGAGGTCCTAGCTCTCCTCTCTCTCTGCTTCCTCATCTTTCTCCCACAGCTTTTATTTCTACTTTTATCCCAAATTCCTTCCCTTATCTGACCACAAGCCCAGATGAGGCATACAGCACTCACAGCAGCCAGTTCTACATTTCATTTCCTTTCGGTCCTTTTAATCCAGCCTTCTAAAAACTAATAATATCAGTATCCTACAATATGGTAAGCACTGAACTCCTATAACCTAATGCTCACAACATCTTCATTCACCAAGGAGGACGCTGAGGCTGGGAGAAGTAACCTGCTGCTGATCCTACGATGTGACAAAGCCAGGGTCGGCCTGCATTTGGCCTGCTAATCTATTATAGCAGGTGAACTTGGAGCCTCCTGTACATTCTGATAAAATGAGGTCCTCCTGTTGAGTGCTTCAGCCACGTTCCCCCAGGTGCCATGACGTTTTGGATCTTATTGGCTTCTTCTAACCATTGTTAGAACATTAACAGGAAATCACAGAATGTCAGGGACTTAAAGAACTCTTAGAGGTCCTCTGATCACACCCTTTCATTTTAAATATCATTTTAAATAAGCCCAGGGCCCTCTGTTTACCTTCTATTTTACCCAAATAAAACCAGAGAGCAGATGTGTGCAGCTCAGCAGAAGCCCAACTTTGGGGAAACACTTATCTCCCCAGAGTTGGAGCTGGCCTTGAATAAAATGTTATGGAAGAGGAAAGGGGCTACCCGCGTCTCTGCCAGGCCTGGATAGGACATGCACAATGCTACTCTACATTTAGAGAGCTACTGCCTCCAAAAACAAACCAGGTCAAATTTTCAGGGCAGTGTGTCAAAAGAGAGGAATTTTTTTTTTTGTTCAAAACTTGCTCAAGATCTTCAGAAAGGAGAAATAACTCCATTCTTTAAAGTTGAGTGGGGAAAGATTTGTTTCCTAATGATGAGGTTTCTGCAACTGGAGATACAAATAAAATTAAAAATTAAAAATGCTTTTTATCCATCTCTACAAGGAATGACCATATCGGAAATGGTCTAGATGCTCAAACCTCACAAGAAAAAAAGGCTCATTAACCCAACTTTCAATCCAGCCTTCTCCACATTTTGTTCTCCATCACCCCTCCAAGAAGCAGAAGAGAACAACAGTTTGCCACCGCCAAACACTGTCCCCCAGGAATTAACTCATTCACCTCTGTGACCCCAGCCCCCAATTTAAGAAAAGCTGAAGACCAGTTCGGCACTCTGTTTTACACTGTCTTTTTAAGCAGCTTCACTCTATAAAAGATTCTGAACTTGTGAACATGAACTTTCATTTGTTTCCTGCTGAGCAGCAGAGCTTGTAGCATGATGCCTGGCCTGATTTTTGCCAGATTTGAACTTATTGGAGAAAAATGCAAGTCCCTCTTTTAGCCTCTTTCCATCACTTCTGGAGAAAAGCTTTCCAGCTACCAAAACAAAATATTTCCCAGTTCTTCCTCCCACACCTATGAACTTTGTTCTTTGATTAAGTCCTAGATTCCCCTCGAAGCAGAACTGGACTATGTCCAACCAATTTCTTCAGGTTATTCAAACATTAACTCAACAGATGTTATTTCAAGAGGTTTGCCTGTTCTCCATCCCTCTCCTTTTGGGTTTTGAGTTGGTTCTTGAAGTACAAACTGGAAAGTCTGAGGGGTGTAGCAGGAGATTTACCCCCATCCCTCACCTTTCCCCCATGCCCCTTTTGCCAGAAGGGCAGAAAAAGGAAGCCCTTTCATGTGCATAGCTGATGGCACTGCGTGTCCCTCTCAAACCCAGCAAGGAGCTATACGGGAGCAGGTGGAAAGGATGAACAATGATAATGGTTGGTCCAAGGAACGTCCCTGGAGTAGAGGAGTCCAGTTATTTCACTTCTGGCAGTGAAACATTGGACCATTTCTCTCACAGCCAGACACACCAAAGCTGCCTGTCTTTTGACATGCCCCACCCTCAAGAGCAAGGGCCGGTTCTCTGAGCTGGCAGTAGAGAAAGGGCCAGTTTACTCAGAAGGAATCTTGCTGGGGACCCTTCACAATGGCCTGGGCAGCTGTTCCCAGTGGGGCCTGGAAGCTTAGAAGGCAGGAGCCATTAGAGGGCGGCATGTGCTAACTCATAACTCAAAGCAGGCTCATTTTTTCAATTACAGGATGTCTCAAAGAGCAAAAGCACTAGGGTTCCAGTGTCAGCAGAAAAACAAGTTAGAAAGGGAGGGGTGTGGTGGGAGACAGAGAAACATCCCTCCAAGCCCAAAGTTATGCCAGTGAAACGCTGCTCTTGGAAAGCCAGGCTACGTGTCCCAGCACATGCTAGGAATATAAACTGTGGAGATACAGGCTTCTGCAAGAAGCCACACCTCCTGCCCCATTAGATGGCATGTGATGGGCTCCTTGGCCTCTGGGCAAAGAATCCAGCGTGAATGCCCAGAGCCTTGAACAGAGAAGGGTGTGGGAGACTTTGTGTCACTTCCCTCTTCAGCCTTCTAGAGCAAGAGGACAAAGGAGCGCCTTGATGCTGGCAGACGCTGGGGGCACTGCTGGGTTTTACAAGGAAGGACGAAATCCGATCCCACCAATCGGAATAGATCATCTTTGCTTGTCTAT